CATATACCATCAACCCCGTTCAAATTTCCCGCCGTTTGATCCGCCAATCAGAGCACGCGGTGGATGTGGTGGGCGTGGCCAAAAAGTGGAAGTGGTGGGGGGCGCCCAGAGTGCACCAGTATCTACTGATCTTTGCTGCCAACTCCACCATGGACGTCCCCACCAACGCCCAAGTGCCGCCAATTCAAAGGGTTCCCCACACTATGCGGGAGGTAACATTCAGGCATAAGACCGTAAGACGAGTGCTCTTGTCGCGCTCGACATCAACAAAGCTTCTGGTCCGGACTTGATTCCTGCCATTGTACTGAAGAGATGTGCAGCTGAGCTTGCTCCAGTTCTTTCGCGTCTCTTCCAGATATCTTATGAATCCGGCACCTTCCCAGAAAACTGGAAATTTGCTCATGTACAGCCCATCCCAAAAAAAGGATCTAAAACCGACCCTTATAACTACAGGCCTATAGCTCTACTTTCTGTTATAAGTAAGTGAGGAGAGTGCATAAATCGCGAGCTTCTGGACTACCTCGAACGTCACAGCTTGATTAGCGACAGGCAGTACGGTTTCCGGCACCAACGATCCACAGGGGACCTCCTAGCTTACGTCACGCAACTGTGGAGTAAACTCATCCAGTCTCATGGTGAGGCTCATGTCGTTGCTCTTGACATCACGAAAGCGTTCGATCAGCTGTGGCACGCCGCTCTTGAGCAAACTTCCATCCTACGGCCTCCCAGAAAAGCTTTGCAGATAGGTGGCTGACTTTATCTCTGGCCGCAAGATATCCGTCGTAATTGACGGATTCTCCCTTCATCCCACAACGTCAACGCGGGTGTTCCCCAGGGATCGGTCTTGGCTCCAACACTGTTTCTCGTCTCTTACATATCAACGACCTCCTTGCCTGCACAATCAACCCAATCCACAGCTTCGCTGATGACAGCACTCTACATGCAGGAATTCAGAGTGACAAGCCGATCTCTGCCGCTGAGCTGGAAAAAGAAGACTAGCGACGACTTCTTCTCTGACAAGAGACCCGGAGGCTATCACTGCTTGGGGAGGCAACAATCTTGTACAGTTCAATGCTTCCAAAACACACCACTGTACTTTGATGAACAAAAGCATCCTACGCTCATCCATTTTCGATGGACGGCCGAGTTCTGTCAAAGAGCCATTCATTTCGGCTGTTCGGAGTCCAGATCACCGAAGACCTGATCTGGCACGAACACACTCTTCAATAGCTGCAGCTGCTGGGAAAAAGCTAGGCTATTTGTTTAGGGCTAAGAAGTACTTTTCTCCGCATGACCTTCTCACTCTATACAAGGCCCAGATAAGGCCTAGCCTCGAGTATTGCTCACACATTTGGGGTGCTGCCGCCCCGAATACATTGTCCATGCTCGATGCTGTCCAGAGGAGGCGGTCCGACTGATCGGTGACTCTTCTCTAACAGACAGTCTCGGGACTCTTTCTCACCGGCGGCCGTCGGCGATCTAGCTCTTTTCTATCGCTACACCAACGGGCTTTGCTCCTCAGAGCTCTCTTCCGTGATGCTGTCGCGCGATGTGCCTGCCAGACACACCCGCCTAACTTTCGCGTCCGTCCATCCTAACCGTGTCAAACTTCGTACATCCAGAACTGGCCGATACGACCGCTCTTTCCGTCCCCGAGGATGTCTAGATTGTGGAACAATCTACGGGAGGAAGCTTTTCCCAGATTCTAAACCTTAGGCAGTTCAAAAATCGTATTAACAAAATTTCTTTGGGATCATCATAGCAGCCGCGGTGTTCCGGCATTTAGGCTTCTGCCTGCGCGGCTGTTTCGATATAAAAAAAATGGTTATCAACGAAAATGAAAGCGAGATAATAAGTTGTCAGTGCCATGACTTTGCCGCTTCAGCAGGAGGCTGCAAGCCTGCAGTCGCTTTTTTGATGTGGGTACATGGGCGCAGTGATCTACTTCGGTGGAATGTTATTGGAAAAGCCAACATTGTCAAGACTAGGGCTACTCTGAAGTACATCACGGTGCAGCAGATGTCGAAAAAGGAAGTACCGCACAGACCAAGTACATCAGCACTTTACACAGACTTTATTTTGGAAGCCAAAAAAAAACTTCAACACTGTGACTTGATAAAATATCAGGACGATTTAAACACTCAAATGTTATGCGGTATCCCTGCTGCACTGTTTAATATGAACCAACCACCAAAATTCAAGCAGACGTAGACAATCTTGTAGACATAATGAAGACAACATTCAACAGAGCTGCTATCAGTGCAATTGAAGAAGCAACAAGAATGCAGTACAAGAGCAGCTTGTGGTATGAGATGAGGTATGGCCGTATCACAGCTTCAAAGGCACATGAAGTGAGCGTATGTCATACACCTGATGGTTCATTGGTTGCTACTATAATGGGCGCGCAAAAATACCAGATACTATTACAATGAAAAGAGGTAGAAGTTGGAGCTATCTGTCCGGAAGACAGTTAGTACAGCATTGAACAAAAATCATGTGGACTTCATGATGCCAAGACAATCCCATGCTTGCAGCATCTCCTGATGGTTTATTGAAAAATGCCATTGTTGAAATAAAATGCCCTACCACAGCAAAAGCTGAGAACAATTATTTAAAAAATGGAATTATTTCAGAGAAATGTAAGGCACATGTTCAATTACAGATGCATGCAACTGGTATGAAAAAATGTTATTTTTGTGTTGCTGATAGCAACTTTGAAGAAACAAAAAATGTAGATATTATACTAGTGAAGTACGAAGATGATTATGTCAACAACTTAATAAAAAACTTGTATATTTTTGGAAAAAATAATATATCCTATTTTGTATCGTAGCACTAGTCTGTGATTATCAAATAAAAAAACTATGCAGTGCATATTTCTTGTTTTATTATTTTATTCATGGTTTTACATCATTTATTTCTTTTATTATAGAATTAGTAGTAGAAGTATTTATTCAGCACGATAATCACAATAAAATTTGCTGCGCAAGTAATCAATAGCCCTATATCACAGTGTAGAACTTTATCATATACCTGTGTATGAAATTCACAATCGCCGATATGTAAGTAAACAAGATGACTGTAATTGTTAGTTATATATTCTTCACTTCGTCTATACAATACATAAGAAATAGTTTGGTTGAAATAAAGTAGATTCACGTAACAGAATAGTTGTATAGTTGACAAAAACTGAATCTTGCACTGACACAAATGTCCTATAGCGGCTGCAAGAGGCTTACACTTTTGTTGTATAACTGTTACCGCAGCCCCTTATACAACCTCTTAAACTGAAGTGTCCTATTAGGTGTACCCATTCCGCTTATATAGCTGTTCTAAGAGGGTTTTGCCAATGTTCTTACAGTATACAACGCTGTGTAAGGAATACTGTATAATCATTCTTGCAGCTCTAATAGGAGTGATAATTGTTAGTTGGGTTGTTGCAGATGTACATACGTCCTCCTCAGACTCTAGAAGCACTTCGAGAGGAGTTGGTGTTGCCTGGAATGAGATACCACAGGAGGACATTGACCACCTGATCAGTAGCATGCCTAGGCGCGTTGGAGAATGCGTAGCACATCAGGGTGCATCCACACATTATTAAAGGTCAAAGGGCTTTAAAGCAGTGCAATCATTTTGAAATTTTTATCATTTACTTATTATGCTTCATTACGTGCTTATACAAAATTTTATTAAAATAAAACCATTTAAACTGGGTGTTCGGATTTATGTCACTTAGTATATCCCACACGTGCTCAATTGGGGATAAGTCGGGAGATCTTGGTGGCCATGGTAACAATGTGACATCATTATGTTGAAAGAAGTCTATTGAGACTCTTGCAACATGTGGTCGAGCATTATCTTATTGGAAAGTTGGATCTGCCAGGGTGTCAAGATAGGGTAAATGGGGTTCTAGAACTTCGTGGATATAACGCTGTGCGTTCATGTTACCTCTGATGAATTAAAGGTGACCTGGAACTATAAGCTATAGCACCCCAAACCATAACTCCAACAGTGTGATGAACATGTCTTTCAACAAAAAACTGTGGATTCCTGCTTTCACCACGTCGCCTTCTAACCCTGGCACGACCATCATGCATGCCTAAACAAAATCGAGACTCGTCACTAAAGACAATACTGCTCCTTCCTGATCCCAGAGTGATCGTTGTCTGCACCACTCAAGGCGATTACGTCGGTGTTCTCGAGTTAAAGGGAGGACCCAGTGTGGCCGGTATGAAAACAAGCCAAAACTTCTCATTCGTCGGTAAACACTTCGCATGCCAATAGGTCTTCCGTGTTCTGCAAACCATTCATTTGCAATGGACCTGGTAGTGGAGAAACGGTCCCTTAAGGCCAATAATCTTAGGCGGCGATCTTCACGGTCTGTTGTTCTACGGCGGCGTCCAGTGCCCCTTTCTTTGCGTACGGCCTTCTCGAAGCCATGCCTGACAGCACCTAACCACAGTGTCTACACTTCTTTGCACTCTAACTGCAATTGCCCGAAAAGAAAGTCCAGCTTCCCGAAGTCCCACTATACGGCCCCTATCAAACTCACTAAGTTGACGAAATCGTACAGGTCTCCGTACTCTAGGCATCGTAACCGATCGTAAAGGATGTCCAGAACCAAAATCCGCCAACGTTGATTCTTTACTGCGGCTGAAATATTCATTTTAGAGCGTTAGTGAATTAAAACAAAACTGTATAAAAACCGGAATGTCCAACTGATAAGGCTGAAAATTGTTTCACTTGTTATTTACAGTAAGATAAATACATTCACCAACTTTTATTAAAATGAAACCATTTAAACTGGGTGTTCGGATTTATATGTCACTTAGTATAGATTAAATGTCGTTTTTAAGGTAAACATATGGAACGGGATTCTAAATGGAAGAATCATTCTGCCTTTTGAGCTGCCAGAGTTCTTGAATGGCGACATTTATTTAGACTTTTACAAGATGATTTACTAAATTTATTATAATTACGACAGCTGCCGGTGCACTCTGTCCGTTCATTTAGAGAATACCTTGATGCGGAATACCCAGCAGATGGACAGGACGGTCTGGTACAATTTCGTGGCTAGCTCGTTCACCTGACCTAAATCCACTCGATTTTGTACTGGGGAGCGGTGAACGAAAAGATTTACTAAAAGATAATCGAAAATTTATCTGAGCTACGGGACAGAATAGCACAAGTAGCTGAATTTGTTAATTACGGAAGATTCGGCCGTCTGATAACCCGATCATTTTTCAAGACACGCTTGCATTGCCGCTGAAGGAACGCAGTTTGAACATTTATCGAAAATTTAATAAGTACATTCCCGAATAAATTTTAGTGGCATTACTAGCTGTCTAGGCTGTCACTACGTAGAATGAGACTATCCGTTCGCCCCCGTCTAAAAAAATTGAAATTTGTAGTAATGGAACTGTTACGCCAATGGTCATTTGGCGCGCGCGCCACTGTGTACACCATCACCAGCCACAACCATTACGCAAGAGCGCTGCTGGCAGTTTTGAATCCCAGCCAATGGGGACGGAAACGCGCGGACATGGGAACGCCGAGGGACAACAGGTGTCGATACAGAACGCATCATAAAACGTTCAAGCAAAATTTGTATTGTCAATCATGTTTCTAATCAACAATACAGTCCACTCTTAAACTTCAATAACCTTCTACAAGACTGGAACGGATTGTCCTTGCCGAACATAACAGGAACTAAAAGATCATCATAGGGTGTAGATTTTTTCCGATATTTTTTAAAGCCAATAATCTGAAAAGTACACGACTTAGATTTGTTATAGTTATCTGATAACGTCAAAAATTGAGATACATCCTCCCCCATCCCTTACAGCCCTTATATGAAACTTTTTTTCTAAACCAGTGTACAGATTAGGGAGAGATCAATTTATAGCAGGGCACCCTGATTTTAAGCGTCTGGCGAAAGTTATACGCGTCTAGCAGTGCTGGATATTACTTTGTAAGAATGTTTTACAAAGTAGATACAAAACTGAGAAAATAGGATTCAAGTCAAATAAGTTATTTTTACTTTCTGATATGATATACAATAAATCGGCCTAACTTAGCAGACACGCAGGCGTTGCAAGTATATATATAATATATATATATAGATTATATATACGCTATCCACATTTTTTTGTCTTCCAGAAAATAGGTAATGTCTGGTAGCACTTGAATCTCAATCTAAAACGTTGAATTCTCTACAGCTTCTGATTGCTACTGTATCAACGCTCACCAGTGATTTGACATCGCACAATCTTGACCGCCAATTAATCGATATATATATATATAAACAAAAATAGGAAAATAATGGACAAATCCGCAAAAAGTGGATTCGAGCAGAAAATAGGATAGGTAACCCGAGCGATACGTATTTCTGCTGGTTGGTTTCATCAGGCCCGAAATGAATGCACATATGCAACTACAAAAGTAGAGACACATGCCCATACATCCGGGTACGTGTAACCTGAGGAAACAAAGATGGAGAGGAAAAAAAAGACACACGAAGTCCACAACAAGAGCCAACCTACACATTGTAGTATAAAATGGCTAGAAGACCTCGAATTTTCAAGGCGACAAATAACCACAACCACGCGGCCGGTTATAGCCACTTGCTCTTTGTAGATCCTTTGGGCTTGAAGTACGTATCGCTCGGGTTACCTATCCTATTTTCTGCTCGAATCACTTTTTGCGGATTTTGTCCATTATTTCCTATTTTTGTTATATACCTTTCTCCGCATGATAATTTTATATATATATACAGGGTGGTCCATAAGTCCTTTGAAATTTCAAACTTGAATAAATTTAACGGGTGAGCGTGAGCGGCGCGGGCGAGGTGGGGGCAGTATCTTCAGTGTCTGGGAATTCAGTTGCCATGGAGTGTTTCACTGGAGCGGATCGTGCTTTTTGTGTGCGCGCGTTTTATAACAAATAATGATTCGGCAACCATTGCGCGGCGTAAATATCGAGAATACAACAATTTACACAATTTTACAAAGTGTCCAACAGCTCAAACGATTAAGAACTGGGTTGCTAGTTCGAAGAGACTGGTTCGACGTTAGATAAACAGCGGTGGGGTCGACCAAGGACAACTCGTATTGAAGAAAACATCAACATTGTGGCACAGTCTGTTCGTCAAAATCCTACCCAGTCTACTCGTAAGCGTTCCAGTGCACTAAACGTACCCAGAACACCTTTAC